GTTATACAGATAAATCCATTTGTGTAGTTTTTATTGCAAGGTTAATTTAGTAGATTAAAATTCATTGGCACTTGTGTAATGTTCAATGTTAAAAATACTCACATTTTATAAAACAACAATTATTTTTTACACAATTCTAGAATTGTGTAAAAAATAATTGTTTAATAACATGCGAGTTTTTTAATATTAGTTTAGTACATCCTATACATTAGTTATGGATTTTGTATGAATTTGGCTTCAATATCCGACATTTATATTTTTGTCCCATATTCTTAAAAGCTGTTTTCCTATGTTTCCAATGTATATGATAATGCCTTTAGAGCTTTTTCTATATTATCTGATTTATTACTGATACATTATCAAAATTATATAATTATTGTAGTAATTTTTGATAACTAATTGAATAAATATAAGTACATGCATTAATTAAAAATAAAAACTCACCAACACATTGTAAATTTGGTCTATATTTCAACTCCTATGCTTTACCAAAATAATCAAACTGTTTTCATTTTGACATATTTCAAATCTTTCCCACACAAAATGTCAATGACGTAACATACCCAGAGTATTATTTGTTCCTTCTATGGCTGAGGTCATGGAGACTGTTTTTATTAATGCACTAAAATTTGTACAACTAAAATAATTTATTTAATGGAAACAGTCTATCTCTAATTATTAATTTAAGGGCTTTCAGGCTGAAGTAAAATGGTCCTCCATTACACTTCGAAAGACGAGAGGAAGCCTTGTACAAAACCCTTTCACTAAATGTGCATAATTTAGTGTTGTTGCCTTTATGCTTCACAACATTAACAATAAACAAAAAACTGATGTAAACAAAACAATGTTTATGCATAAAATATACAACACCTATTGACATGCTAAATGCATCAGAATCAACTTGTGAGTGACTTTCTGGTGCTAATGATAATTTATTTTTTCATCATTCATGTTCTAAGAAGTATCATGGTGTCACACAAAATTCAATGGTTTTTTCCCATTTTTTGCTGTAAAATGAAATTCCTTGATGTTTACCAGACCAGGAATGCAAAAGATGAAATTTACTGACTTTCCCCAGATCCCCTGACCTGTAAAACCATATCCATAATTACATGTGCATTATTTACACTGTTTTAGATAGTTTGATGTTAGTGTTGTTAATTTTCTAACTAGGTCTTTAAAACACATTTTTAATTCTAGGGTTGGTGTTTTTGTGGGGGAAATAACAATATCTTGGGCCATTTAGGGAGTGTGTGGGGGGGGGGGTTGTCCCGGGCCCCAGGTTCAAAGGGGCTTCAAATTTAAAAACTTTTTTTTTCCATTTGTAAGTT